GTATATATAATAATATAAAAATGATAAAACCAAATAACTTTTTATAGTTAAATAAAAATATGCTTAATATTTTAGTACAGTCATCCCCCTCTATAGTCACACCCTTGGGATACAAAAAACTGTGATTGTAAAGAGGTGTGACTAATATAGAGTTAACCTCTATATAGTCACAATTATATTACAAAATATGAAAGTGACTATATAGGGTTTTGCAATAAGTAGCATTTATACGCCACTCTTTTATTTAGTTTTTTTTAAATTAAATTAGTAAGTTATTATAAAAAGTTCTATTTCAGCTATAGCAATGAGCAGTTAAAGTTAAATTAGTTCACATTAGAATTATTACGATTTCTATCATTATTTATTGTAAAAAATCCTATTACAGAACTTTCTCGCTAATGCAGTCATAGTAATTAGGTTTGTGTTATACAAATTAATATAATTTTATCACGAGTTACTGATTTAGGGTTTGATCGATATTTTGAATTCATAATTCACCAAAGCAAGAATAAAATATGATATTGAAATTGAGGATTTTACTTGCTTTAATTTATTTAAGTAAAAAGTTTGTGATTATGTGCCAACAATCCCCCCAACAATTCCTTTCTCAACACAACCAACCACCTATCTGACAATCCTTTCCCAACACCATCCTTTCCCGAAACTACTCTTTCAAAACACCATTCTTTCCGACACCACTCTTTTAAACACCATTCTTCCCCGACAACACCTTTTCCTAGCATTACCCTTCTCTAACACAACTCTTTCTAAACATTGATGCCACCTTTCCCCAGCATCATCCTTCCCCAGCATCACCTTTCCCCAACACCACTCTTCCCCGACACCACCTTTCTCTAGCATCACACTTACCCACACTACTCTTTCTAAATATCATTCTTCCTCGACACCAGCCTTCCCCAACACCCCTTTCACAATATTACCCTTCCTGATACCACTCTTCTCTGATATCGACACCGCCAACTATTTTCCCTATAACCATTCCAACACACTACCACTTTTCCTAAATATTTAAATATTAATACCGTTTTAGTTAAAAACAATAATAATAATAAATTTAAAAAAAATAAATTATTTAAAAAAAAACTTTAAATTAAAAAAAAAAACTTTAAATTAAAAAAAAAACTTTAAATTAAAAAAAAAAACTTTAAATTAAAAAAAAAACTTTAAATTAAAAAAAAAATTTTAAATTAAAAAAAAAATTTTAAATTAAAAATAAAACTTTAAATTAAAAAAAAAAACTTTAGATAAAAAAAAAACTATTAAATTAAATAAAGCATTAAACACTGTAAATAAAAAAGAAACCATTAAATTAAACAAAAAAAAAATTGCAAAAAAGTTCTCCGGCTAATCAAACTTTAAGATCGTATGTAATGTAAGTTTGACTTCAAAGTTACTTATGTATGATGTAATATTTGAATTACAAAATTTACATTACACATGATCTTAAAATTTGGTTGGCTGGCAAAATTTTATCAATGTTTTTTTTATTTAAATTTTTTTAATTACATTATTCAGTAAAAAAATTGAGTTTCTAGCAATGTTTGTTATTTCCCCAGCAACGCTTGTTATTTCTCCAGACTTCCAGGAAATAACAAGCGTTACTGAGGAAATAGCAAACATTGCTAGAAACTCGATTTTTTTATTGATCAAATAGTGATTATAAGTCGTAAAGCCCGTCATGACATCATATAAAAACGAAGAATAATACCCATATTTCACCCTACGGGGAAATAACCCAGTAGTAGGGATGTTAAATTGCGAATCCAGTCCGGTCCGATCCTAGGATCTAAAAAGACGGTCCTGGACTCGATCCTTTAAATCACATGAAAATACAATACATTTTATGGACTTAGATCCTTAATCAGATCCTGAATTGAATCGTCGAATGAGTTCATCCAATCAAATTAATTTTGTATTGTTATAATATTTCAATTCAGAATCCAAGTCCTATAAAATGTATTGTGTTTTCATGTGATTTAAGGATCGAGTCCTTACCGATCCTGCAGGTCCTTGAAAGGACCGGTTAGGATTCGGTCCCAAAAGACCGATTAACATCCCTACCCAGTAGATCTCCATCTTGCTGTGGGTCCTTAGGGCCCCCAGATGTACCTCCTATTCCCGCCGTTGCAGGAAATAAATAGTATAGAAATCGGGGATATGTTTTATTTCACCGACAGCTTAGTTCACCGACAATTAATTCACAAACAAGTTCATTTCACCGACAATTAACTTGCTGAAAGGTTCATTTCACCTATAAATTACATTAACCTTAACTCCAATTCTAACCTGATCTAACAACATTGACCCGAATTACTTTGTCGATGAAGTGAGCTGTCAATGAAATAAATGTTGATGAAATAAACTTGTTGGTAAGTTAATTGTCGGTGAAATAAACTTGTCTGTAAATTAATTATTGGCGAACTAAGCTGGAGGTGAAATGATTGTCAGCGAAATTCGTACCACCCAAAATCGGAATAGCTTTAGGGGAAGGTTGGAAGTGTGTAGTCGGGTAATTGTTTGTTTGGTGAAGTGATGGACGGTGTTGGGGAAAATTAGTTGTTGGGGAAAGGGAGACTGTTAGGGAAAGAGAGGTTGTCGGGGAAAGAGAGGTTGTCAGGAAAAGGGAGGTGGTTGGGGAAAAGGAGGTTGTCGGTGAAAAGGAGATTGTCGGAGATGGGTAATAGTCGGGAAATCATAGTAGGACATTCGCCTGATTGGCTGATGTAAATCAATTGCCCGGGTAACTTATTTATACACTTAAAAGTACTTTTTGGGAACACGTTTCACTAACAAAAAATCACCGTAAAAGCCATTTTTCGCTTCGATAGAACGTCTATATTCACTATGCAAAAATA